CAACGCACAATTCGCAACCGCGGCAATCAACTAAAATTTTTTTTATATTTTTTTTATTCTGTTCAGATCCTTAGGCCATGACTTATTTCCTGCAGTAATGACTTTTTGTTCTTATTTCTCTGATGAATGTTTCCAGGGTAAGTCAGCGAAGCCTGTAGCAGCATTCATCGCTGGTTTGACTGCTCCGCCAGGGCGGAGGATGGGACATGCTGGCGCAATTATCAGTCACGGAAAGGGTACTGCCACCGAGAAGATTAAGGCGTTGAAAGAAGCAGGCGTGCATGTGAGTTAGAGTTGGGGATTGTACCAAGGATCTCCGGTGGTCGTATGAGCGGATGTTCAAGTTTTTGTATTTTCAGGTAACAGACTCACCGTCAGAACTCGGTACTACCATTGCGAAGGCCCTCTTAGACGAAGTAGCTCACCTTTATGACAAATAGGCTTGACAGCATTGACAGGCAGCCCAGCACTTGGTGAATACTAGCCCTAGGCAAGAAATGAATTCTTGGAATGTCTTATAGATGTGCCTCGTTTTAATCTTCGCACTTACTGCAGTTGCTATTCTCGCGCCTCACCTCTATGTTGTCAGGTCGAATAATAAATATTTTAAGTCTTTTCTTTTCATGTTGGTCGAAAGTTCGCGTGACTTTCGAAATCATGGATAGCTTTGAAACCGCAGGTATCGATGGGATCGTAGCGCCTTTTCACACTAAATCGTGAAGTTGAAAGATAAAGCGTTTGGAGTTGATCTATCTTTTTTGGGATGCGCCGCGCATTTAGCTCTCATTCTTATTCTGAATGCGATTGCCTATGCAACAATTTGCGGAGGAGCGGATGTAAGAGTCTGTGCTTTTACCTCCGGACCAACCTGGTACTAATAGGCCGACCTTGAAGTACACTTCCACTTGACTTATTTAGAGCATGCTGAACCCAATTAAAGCAGGAGCCCCAGCAGGGTTTTTACCTTCGACACTAATGGTGTGGAACGATGCGCTTGCCCTAGTCAAGAACACAGAAAAGTGATTGACAAAAAACTCATCTTGGAAAGCTGCTAGGAAGGGAGCTGAAAGGATTCGAAGTGGGTGTGGTTGAGTCGGGGTGGGGGGGGGGGGGAGGATTGCAGCAATGTACAAGGAGTGAGAGTTAGAAGAACAAATTGGTTGTCACAACCATTTGGTTCTCTTATTCTCCGAAATCGCACGGTTATACCGATTTTCATTGCGTCGCCTGATAAGTAGCCGCCCCAAGGCGGACTTCTTTCCATGCCCCGCCTTTGGCTCCGCCACTTACCTTCGATTGTCCATAGTGTGGTTTTGTAAAGTTTGTTTCTCTTCGGAAACTGAATCTTTGTGCATGAAACTTTGTATGTTGTCTCTAGTGATCACAACTGACATATGCGTGTTGGGAAAGAGTGCAAAGATTTTCCAGGCAAGGATTCCTTTAACCGGTTCAGCGATCTGCTTACTCCGAGGGAGAGCTGGATGAGTACTGGGTTTGTGTGAGTCATCAACTAGGGAAAGTTCAACTGAATGAGTTTTAATCGACGGTTTCGCGCAGGTCTAAGGTTGCTTTATTACTCCAAATTCTCGAATTCCTTTCTCCAATGTAACGCAAATTTCGCACGTTCTAATGAGATAGGGCAGGCCCATGACGTCATCCACGTATAGCTGCCTAATAATAATCGCATCCATTCGGATGCTATCCCTTTCCCATGCGTTCCTGATGAGCATTGTCGTGAGGAAAATTCAAGGAAGTATACACCACCAGAAGTGATTGCTCAAATTCTTCAAGGCCAGCTTCCCCATTCTGACGGAAGCATCGAAAGGTTCTCAGAAATGCACACATCCTCGTTTGACTGGATCTCTCCCGCCGCTTTCAAACCAGCCCCAATCGCCCTGCTCATTCCATCCCTTTTATTCTTTACCTCTCCTACCGCCCCTCCCCCCTCTCGCCACATTAATGCACGTTAGGGACCACGGATGAGGGGGTTGCGGTGTATCAAGTCTTTCAAAGGAGAAATTAAAACTCAGAATAAAAAAAGTGTCAAAATATTGGCCGGGATCCAGGTATCTGTGTCAAGCTAACCATCAACGATTGTTATGGTTATATGGATAGAGTATTCGCCCTCACCCTATGGTGTTGGCGACATCTTACCAGGAAGGTCTTTCAGGACATGGAGCCCTTTTTGAAAACGGTTTTTTGCATGATAAAGGGGCACATGCATGGAGTACAAAACTAGGCTCCATTTTTTCTGAGCGGCCCTGTGAGTGCCAAAAAAGGTATGAAAAATTGGTCGAGGGATCGGTCCCGGCTGATGACAAAATTTTGCATTTCATGTTAGCGCATGTTAAATGACTCCAAATGTTAAGCCGATAAAAATAGGTACTGTTCTTACAATCAGGGTCATCATCAACCTTTCTGATTAGCTTTCTGCCCAGAATTGGGGCGAAAATTGTATGGCGCTAAAGCGGCGCCGAGTTGGTGCCCGAGGAGGCTAAAATGGCGCAATATCGCGCCTCCATCAAAAATGGACGTCAGATTCGTAATCAGCGCCTATAATTACCCTTATAGCCGCAGTTTTAGAGAAGATCAAGATTTCGGCCCGAATTCAAAAATTGGGCCATGGGTTAGCCCATAGTCAGTACGGCATGCACGCTTCCCACTTGAAGACAGCTTCGAGATGATAGCAAGCGGCACGTTTGGTTGATAGTTACACTTCCACCGCAGTATGGGGCAATCTGGCATCACCCCTGATCTCGTCGATGCATGGCGTATGCCTGGGTGGGCACTGGCATACGTCGACGAGCATCCTGGACACTCCTCAACGCCGGCAATCTGCCTTCAAGGGAAATGGAGTAGGTGTTCCTTGCGAAAAAAAATGACAGCTTCACTTTTCTGGCGCTCGTTAGATGCAGTTGGTGTGATCCGCGCCTGTGATTCAGATGCTTCATTGAGTTTTACCATAACTGCTAGTTATTTATTGCTTGTAAACGGAATTTCGTACACAACTGAAAAAACATGGTACTACGAAACATCGCAGAATTGGGGGAGAAAGTTCATGGAATGACACCTATAGGCTTTAAGTTCACGCGCAAGCACGTGCAAATGCAGAAAAGTGATAATCGGAAAAATGCAAAACTCCGAGCGTGGAGGGGAACCGAACCAACAACTTCGAACAAACCGTGCCAAACCAGAGTCCATCACGCTATCCACTCGACCATCCGACCACCGCTGTACGATGAATGTCAACGACTCTGATGAAACTTCCTTGTGCTTTTGAGCACTTATTATATACAATTTTTGGTATTGGCTTTATTCCACGCTGTTTTCAACGTTCAGGTGAAGAAAACCTTCTATTGTGCGTCCACTTAACATATACGAGTGATATAAAGAACGTTGAAGGTGTGAAAACTCCGATTTCTGAAGAAATTTTTTCACTCCTTTTTTGGCATCCAGAGGGCCGCTCAGAAAAAATGGAGCCTAGTTTTGTACTTCATGCATGTGCCCCTTATCATGCAAAAAACCGTTTTCAAAAAGGGCTCCATGTCCTGAAAGACCTTCCTGGTAAGAACCAGGATTCAAACGTAGCTCCCGAATCATGCACCGTCGTGTTCCATGGCCATGATTTTCAAAAACACCAGGAGAGGCATTCAAGTTTCCCATGAACATGAACATTCGATTAAGATCAGAATATACCGATGGAGCTTCAAACCCAATTACAAATATGGATGCTAAAACTACAAGGTGAACCTGCCAAGGAAGCTATGAGCAATCAAAAGTAGGATGCAGGATGAACGTTGTGTATGAACGTGTGATCGTTCGGGTTTCAGAATTGCTGATAGAGTAATTAGTGGAGTGCGTTCGTCTCAGTCAGATTCTCAAATCGTTCATGCATTTGGAGCCACAAATTTTAAGAGGTCCACGGCGATTCTGAAAGCCCAGGCGGCTTGCACGCTTCATAGGTAACGTTTGACTTGCAGCCAACTTTGACTGCTCACAAATTCCCTGGCAGGTTCACTTTGTTAGTTATAGATTCCACATTTGTAATTGGCGTTTGAAGCTCTATCGATATGCCAGGTCTCACTTCGAAAAGTGAGAATGTCTTCGTGGTTATGAGGGATGTTGACACATGACAATTGACTCGAGCGGGATCGGCTCGAGCCTACACATATGCTTTCTGGGCCGAAAATTACTCGTTTTGCAGCGGGAATTTCGTGGCTTTCTTTAGATAGAAAAGTTCATTTTCAAACACAATTCGTACACAGAAGTAACAGAATAAATAACACAGAGATTAGCAGAAGGCGACATAAATACATACAACCGGCAGAAATCATCAGAAAAGAGGACCAGGTTGTTTTGTAGCTCATCGACGATACATGAACATGAACTGGACTAGATGAAGCAGTGAAAGAGAGCGACGATTACATCAAAATCTGGTTAAATGCGCCACCCGAAGCCAGAAAAAATTGTTTGTTACTCTTCTGTTCAATACACAGAAAGAGATCCTTCTCGTAAACAACAACATTGGCTGCCACAAATGATAGAACGGCGACGTAAGTTTTTAAGCTCAGATTGAGTTTGAAATATGGAACAAGCCAAGTGCAGGTTATTCATTGTTGAAGCTCAGCTTTACAACTGGCAGAAATGGCTACATATTTTTTTAGATCCCTTAAGGTTTGTGTGAGGACATGAAGGGTTCGGCCAATAGCCACTGCAGAAAGGAACCCTTCTGGAGTCCAGAATAGAGGAGATTCAGAGAATTCGTACAAAGTGAACCTGTCACATGAGGGTAAGTTGACTTGGCTAGTTGCCTGCAGAAATTAAGGCGCAACACCGCGCCTCGATCTATTGGAGTTCTTATGGAAGATTTCAAACGTGAGTTCTGGGTCATCAATTAGATTTTGAATGCTGCATTTCCTTCTCACTATCACGTGTACGAAAGGTTGCGAATGTGACATTCAGGAACTAAACGATAAATTTAGAGTATGAACTGCTTGAACGCTCCCTCAGAATTTCAGGAAAACACACTCGAACCACGCTTAAAATCACGCCTTTGAAACACCTGCCAGTGAGAAGGAAATGCAGCGGGATCTTTTTTTCAAGGGACAAGAAATGTGAAATTCCAGTAAACGGAGTGAAGCAGCCGATTAGATCAATTCGATTTGATACCGAGGGAAAAATACTCATGGGTCTGCTTCTAGCACGCAGTGATTCATCCCCAAATGAGTCCCGGCTGGAATATGGAACTATCTGAGCGCTTTCCTATACTTTTTTCTATTTTTTTTTCGCCAAAAATATTGCCACTGCCTTTGTTTGTTTGTGCCCGAAAAACTCAGCAATTATGAAAATTGTGGTCATTGGTTTGAGAAAGAGTACTGAGCCAAGGTCCCCTCACTTTTGCAGCAGTCCTCATAATAAAAATGAACAGGCCAATTCAAACTCAATCTGATCTATAAAATGACACATTTTGATGGGAAACTCGGCACATAGCACTGTCTTTCGTTACCATAGACGAAGAATGTGCCTTTCGTTTTGCCGAGGGTATAATAGACCTTGCACACTGGAATCGCAACCAAACAATGCCGCTGCTGAAAAGATTCCATTAAAATTCAAAAAATTTAATATAAATACTATCGATTTTATTTCCGATACCAGGAATCAGAGTGATATTCTAATTTATTATACTAACTGAAACAACGGGTGAGTGGCGAACCACTTCAATGCGCGTGGCTGCGAGGCGGTGTATAATAATATTTTAAAAGAATTTTTAACTTTCAACATTGTTTTCTTTCCGTGTCACATCATTCACTGCTACTGCCGGGACATAGCGATTTCCAGGAGTTGGAGGTGCAATCAGGGTCGGTCCTATCGTTGTTACTTTTCTGAAAAATTTTTACGACCCCCCTCCCCCAAGGTGGATTTGATACGACCCCCTTTTCGACACCTCGACCACCATCATCTCTCTATAGTATTTAATTCTGATACCACTCAACCCACCAAACTCCGCCCACTTTTTCCTCCAAAAATGCCGTCGAGGGGGGGTATATACCGCGCTGAAACGGCAAATTTTTATCCTGCGCCCCTCCACTCGCCCAGCCTACTACCCACGAAATCTTAGTTTCACCTCAATCCCACACGTGATTTCAAGCGACTAAAGTGGGTACGACCCCCCCTCCAAGCTAAACCAAGTACGACCCCCCCCGTTGGTACTTGTACCAACGTAGGGTTGACCCTGGTCTTGACGTTGCTAAGATGGGGTCGCGGCAGCGGTTGCGACGGCTCGTCTACGCATCATACACAATACAGGCGTTTTATCTTAAGGGTCGTTACTGATTTCGCCGCTACGCCTCGTAGACGCAGGCGACAGAACGCCGCGCCGATGCGTGGCCCCTTCCAACTACGTTAGCAACGAATTGGGAAGATTTCAAAGGACTACAGGTGTCAGTGGCCATATTTTTGTAAAGGGGATCAGTACTGAAGAAATGGCCCGACACGACGGAAGGACAGACGCGGTGGCGTTGAGCATATTTCAATGCCTGAATGTGCGCTCAAGTCTCGACTGAGTTGGGATTTTGCCAGCCGTTAGGTAGGTAATAGCCCATGAACTTCAGTAGGCGACTTGTTTAAAGCGTAGTATTATGCTCACATACCTGAATCACTCTACACATGCCCATGCTGTTCTGAAGATGTTGCGCACAAAACAGCTTGCTCTTCTCGTTCACTTCATCAACGTGATATTTTGTTATAGGAAGCACCTAAATTGTAATGGATTCGCTGAATGTAAAACTATCCTGGTCCAGTGAGATGTGATAAATGTGATTCTGATTTTCTAACAGTTGTAAAGAGAAAAATTGGGTGTACATGAGAGAATAATGGATACCGAATGGAGTAGAGGATGTTCAAATCTGGAATGGGTAGCGCTTTCGCGTGAAAAGCAGCGGCGTGATACACGCGCCACATACGACTCATGTTTCTCAGAGCACGCCATTCGCCGGTACGTGAAAGGGATGATAACCACCACTGTCATAGTTCAAACTCTTTTCCAAGGCCGTAGCTATGATGTCAGACTTTGCTCCACCCGAACGACCCTGTATTCGGCGTAACTCGGTCCCCTGTCGGAGTCTCCAAAATTCTGTCAAAAGACTGAATCTAATTTTTCCTACCACTGGGCATCGCGACTACACGGACTTCTCTGGGAACCAATTGGCTTCACTGGATGATTTGGAATAGAAGTTATCCCGAGCGCAATCTGAGTGACACTTGGGATAAACAACTTTACTCTTCCCTTTTTTCTATGACCCAAAAATCCACGCGAACAGTTTCATCAGGCCGAGTCATAGCAGACATTGCTTGTTTGAGTTTTGATCCTACGCGCGCTGCTCGTGCCCCCCCCCTCTCACCCGACGTGCTTGCGCACTACGGCCTTCTATTTTTTTTTGATTGGGTCTTTTCAGCTATATCATTTCGAATAGAACCTCAAGTTATGGGCGCAAAAGCTCACCCTACAGTGAGCTCGAGCGACTCCCTTCGCAGAGAGCAGAGCTGCTAGGAAAACGACAGTGTTTTGATTTGAACTACCGTGATCTCGCGCAGGCTGCATTGTCTACCCTAACGACGCAGGAAGGATTCTGTGATAAGATGCACTTCCTACCAGCGTACACTTTCCAAAATCATTGTGTAAGCATCGGTGCAGATCTTACCCGTCCGAGGGACCGCAGCCCATCAAGTCTCGACGTTGGATCTATCCAAAAACCCCTACTTTCAATGTCTCGAAATTCAGGCCAATCTGTCGCACAGAGCGGGGGAAAATGTTCGACAAGTCTCCCATTTCGGCCTTCGGACTGATTGTATAATATAAACTAACGAACTTACGTATGGTTGCTCCTCACAGAAGATCTCTCTCCCTTTGACTTGTGACAGCAATTTTTCCGGTACCTCAGATTGAGTGAAAAATTCAGAGCGTTCAGTTTTACTGAAAACAGTGTCAGCTTGACGCAAGGATACGGCATTTTATAGATTTTACTCAGATACTTACAAGTATACTTTGAGTTTTGTATAGTTGCGGACGCTTACCCAGATCCACAGCAGGCTGTACAAGGGTTTTTTACCACCGCCTTTACAGTGATGACACTCCTTCACACCACGTCCATGGCACATGTAACACAAATCGTGCGTACCTGAAAGCAAACAAATTTGGTTGTGTTGCTGTTTTGAGCAGCAGTAACAACACATAAGCCGAATAAAGGATTTAAAGCAACAGTTCAGGGAGGGTCCGAAAATTTCAATGCCACTACTACTGAGGGATACACGAGCCCTAGTGAAGAACATATGCAGTGGAAATAATAAACGAACTTACCTCAGAAACTCAAAAACAGGGTGGAAAGTCCCTCAAACATGGGTGTTCTTGGGGATTTCCCCAATCCCGCCCCCTTGCCGGCCGTCATTGGACGCGTCGGCAATCGTGCTCGTTTTGGGACCACAGGGAAAATTGATTGAAAAATGGAGCGCGTTTACAGCGGGCACGTTCAGACAACTCGTCCAACGTGCGTCTTTATCCATTGCTGAGCGGCAGAGGGAGAGTACCTGTCTAAGACCCTCCCCGACGTTTTTTTCCAGTTTTTCATACATTAATCGTCTGGTTTTCATCTACAACTTCATTATTGGTGGTTTTTTCCCGCGAAACCGTTCCTGAACTGTTGCTTTAAAACGCGAATTCAAAGGCTCTACGAAGTCCAGAT